TCAGGTGTCCACTAGATTCTATATCAAGCTCACATATCAAAATACTTTAAATTAATTTATGCGGCTTCGATATCTGTGCCACAGAATTTCCTCACCCCTTCAAGGTGGGATCCAGATAGAGCAGTCAGATAATACCTTAACAGCATGGCTTTCTACAAGAGTCAAATGATTCGTAGAGCTAAGTCAGCTAAAGTGGCTGATCATCAATACATACATTTGCTCAAATATAGGGGAAAAAAGAATGGTAAACTTTGCCTTCCTTGTGCAAAAATTACATAAAACTACAAACTGAAACTTCAGGTTACAATTACCATGAATGGCAATAATGTTCACAAGGAGAATCTAGCCCATGGGGTGGACAATTTTTGATGGGGAGACACACCAAGATTTTCGTAACGGGTCAATGGCTGCATTTTTCTAGGAAGCAGGTACTGGGTCTGGGACACAGGTTGAGTACAGAAGGGAGCATGAGGAGTTTGGGTGAAGAAGGGGATAGTGATCTGGGGCACCCCTGATGTAGCCCAAAGATTTTCCTCCTCCTATACAAAAAGAATGTTTATTATAGGGGTGTGGGAGCACCTTTACAATTAAAGCAGTAACATCATGGCATGTGCTTAAAGGTCAACCTTTCTAAATCCTCTAAAATTGACATTTCTTTTAAATTTTGTATCTCTCAGGATGTTGCTGGATAGGGTTAGTGACGTGGATTTCAATTAACTGAAGACAGAAGATCTGGAGATAAGGCCTCCCCAAAATGACATTTTAAAGTTTCTACATGCCCCCCCCCTAGAAACCAAACTATTGATGACAATAGGTTAAAAAAACTGATTAAATCTGCAGAGTTTTATCCAAGGTTGTGCCTGGTACCCACCAAATCTTTGAGGGACCCAAATAGAGAACAGCATTAAAGAAAATATACATGTTTGATTGTACCAATATAGAGAAAAACTGACATGCACTTAAAACAAGAACACAAAGTGTGGTGCCTGCTGATTGCGCACAATACTGTAAGAGCCATGAACTCCTTCTGCAGCTGATCAAAGTGCTGCTATGATTCAATCGGCATACCCTGTAAATTCTACGTATGCAAGCAGAATTAGAAAAGCTACCAATCCTGGGAGACTGTCTTGGTTCCAACAATCTTGCAGCCCACTGAGACGGAAGGCCACTCATGTGACTCACTCACTAGCCTCACATAGCTGGATTATGTATTTATTTATTGTCAATAAAACCAGATTCTAAAAATAAAATCATACATAAGAGATGTTTTTAAAAAATACAGCTGTCTATTAGATGTGGTAACTGCAAGGTTCACATCAGAAGATTGTAAACTCTTCAGGGTAAGAAACAGTCTTCCTGTAAATCTGTTCAGCATTAAGCACAACAGGGCTCTAATCCTGACTGAGGCCTTGGCTACCACAATCAAATGCGGAAAAAACCCAGCATGCTGCACATACCGTCTGAATCACTCTCTTCAGACTGTGATTCCCTTTCCACTCTTGCCTCATTAAGTTTTGCTATTTCTGGAGTGACTGAAAGTGGATGCTGTAGCTCAGAGATACTCTTCTCTGCTTTTGGTAAAACACACTCTACGTTTTCAGATTCCCCATTGTTGGAAATTTCTGTAGTTTCTGTATGAACCATAGCTACTGAAGTAGTCTCTGTTGTGGAACTTATTGGTTTCTGCATGCAAACATTCATGTTTTCTTGCAGAGAACCTGATTCCATTTGTGAAGTGTCATCTTGTTGATTTTCTGTCTCTTCTTTATCTATTCTAATGTTTTCAACAAATGAATAATTTTTAACACAAGGTGTGCACACGCCTTTAGGTAAAGGAATTAAAAACAAATCTGATTGACTTTTTTGGTCTGATTCACCATCTTGCACAAAAGCTGTGTTTGCTGAAAGAACTGTAGGTAAAAGTAGAGGTTCTTTTTCATCCTTAATTTTAGGAACCTCATTTTCTTCATCTGAGTTATTACTAAGATCCTTCACCCTTGACCTTTCCATTTGTGTTATATCAGCACCAGTGGTAATAACTGCTTTCACATCACCATCACTTAGATCTTGCTGAACAGCCTGTATTGTTCTTGGTGAGACATTGCCTTCAGCTATACTAGGGCAGAAAGTGGCTTGGTCCAAATGCAGCTGCCTTTTATCTTCATCCTCTGGCTCCTCTTCTGAGCTGTTTTCTAGCAAAGCTGCTTGTATAGCAAGCAACGTTCTGGGGGAAGGTGGTGCTGCGACTGCATTGCTATCCTCTAACTTTTCAGGTGAAGGTGGCTTGAGATTAGCATTAATTTCATTATGTATTTTATCAGGTATATTATATTCCGATCTTGTGGAAGAATGCCCAACCGAAAGAGTTTCCAAGTGTTTACTGGTGGCTTCCTTTACTTGAATTCCTGAAAAGAAAAAAAAAAGGATTACTACATTTCTTCATATGTTTATATATTCATTTTCTGCTATAACAAATTAGATTTAAAATCATAGAAGTTGGTGCTTGATAACCGAGTAGTTTATTATTCTATTTCACTGCAATTTATAATTCATTTTACTAAAAGTATCAACTGTAACTTTCTGTACATGAAACTCAGATTTTTTAGCAGTACACATAAGAATGACAGCAATACAGAGTGCCTACTCCCAGTGAGAAATTTCATGAAGTGAAGCAATAAGTCCACAATACCTTTTATCAAAATATAGTGAGAAGTATCTTCAGAGACCACCCTCTTGCTTTCCACTTCTTTCATAAAGCCTCCCTCATTTTCATACTGGGTTTGGATATGGCCTGAGTGCTGCTGATTCATCTCTTTTTCCACATTTTCTATGTATCGATTGAGATTATTTTTTTTAAGCAAGCCATTGAGTTGGTATTGCGAGAAGTCATTGGACTCCTTAAATAAACAAAATAAGCTTCAAATTAAAACATAAAATGAACCAAAGTCTATTTAAATAAAATGCAACTTTTGTATCTGAGGCAAATGCATTCACTGGGCTCTGGAGAAAAAAGCTGTGTTTTTCTACATCTCTTTTTGTCATCACTTTTAGACACAAGATATTTTTCTGTTAGGGGTTGCAATGTCACAATATCCTGACATATTAATACAAGACAAAAATAAATTAATAAGTGAGATAGATTGACAATGTTTTGCAATATCCTGAACCAAATGGAATTAAGATAAAGTTTCACTTCATTCAATAAAGTTTATGAAATTAGTGATATCGTCTTTATTTATGATGTATTAAAAATGCAATTGTGTATGTTACTGTGGCACTGCAAATACCTTTTCTCATGGCAGTGGAAGGGGGAGGTTTATAATATACTTCTTATATTATAAACCCACCTAGAAATATATATATTATTTCCATCTAGATTCTACAGAGACCAACAGGCAAAGAAAGAATTTTTGGATTAAAAGCCAAGTACTGAGCCTGCCAGAATCCAAGTTAGAGCTGAAGTTAATTCTGCTACACTTAATCACTTGCTCATATGTTCCTTTTCTATTTTTTATTATGTTTTACCTTAATAATAAAATAGACGTGTACATGGTGTGCTGCATGTTAACATAACTGTTGATAATCACACTTATCAGTCTCTGAAAAGTGTGTTCCTACACAACCTGTCTATGCTGAGAAATAGTCAGTTAAAGCAGGGAACTGAGCAGCTTGGGAATACCAAGGTCAGAAAGAAGAGAAATGCAGATCTCTCCCTCTCTTTCCCCACTCCCCTCCGAAAGGTAACAGCTGGTAAGCTGGAAGCAGTCAGTAGGTGCCCTGGCTATACCAAAGGGAAATACAGATGCAGCTGTCCTTGACATAGTATTAAACAATTATTTTAAATACGCTTAGTAACACTATTTAAATATTTTGAGACCTCTATTACATGTTCAGCTAAAACTGCTCATTTAATGGAGATGGTCTATAACTCAAGAGCAAATAAAATTATAAATGTTACATATAAATTATCTCTCACACTGGGGTGATTTAAATGTGATTGGCTATTACAATGTCTACCCTATTATACAGTAAAACATAGCTGTGGTCTCAAAAGTAATTCCAAAAATAGCACTGCAGGGTTCCAGTTGCCTCTTAATGATTTCTACACATTTGCTTAGTTTACAATTAAAAAAATAATTTCCCCAACTGCCAGCTCTGCATGCAACTTGGGATTTAGAAGTGAAGCTGTGTTCTATCCACCTGACTCAACATAAATAATAAGATTCTGTAATTGGAACTCACTAAATAATTCTGGTGAGGATGCATGAGCAACAATATAAATTGCCCATTCTTACAAGACAATCTGGGCTCTGCAATTCTAACAGAAATCAGAGATTAAGATTCTGAATACACACAGAAAGCAAGTTTGTTAAGAACCATTACCCTGACTTTTTTGTGCAGTCACTTTTCTTGACATAGCACCAAGAGTAAGGTTTTCTTGATGTCAGATACTAATGCAATCTTTATCAGCACTAATGGCAGCAGATTCTATCCAGGCTTTAAAAAGGCTGAAGGATTTTTTTTTTATTTTACCTCTGGCATTGCCTCAAATAATGTTCTTCGTCGTTTTGTAAACTCCTTTATGTCCGTCAGGATTTCATGTTTCACTTCTGGAGGCAGACTGCCAAAGTCTTCTGATTCAATGTCTACAGAATGAGGATTGTCAAAGAATTCTTCCTGTAAAAAACGAAAGAAAATTTGCAAACACTGATGTCACATGATCAAGACAACATGTGCATGGAGGCACTCATAACCAAATGGAAAATCAACATGCAATATTTAGTGTTTGAAAGGAGAAGCTAAAAATAATACTGTACCACACTAAGAAGGTAAAAAAAAATTGTTGCCCTTACAAAACCAACTATTGAAAGTGCTAAATTATATGGATGAAGTATTAAGAGGAAATTTACTTCTGAATCAAATAACAGGTTTCTTATAACAAGCTAATCATATATTTGGCATGAATCACATCATTTACAGGGAGTAGAACTGTGCAGCTGGGGCCCTGGCATGCCACATGTGACCAACCACCAAGCCCCAGTTTTGCAAAGCAGCCCCGCCCCCTCGCGAAGCAGGAAGCAGAGCCTGTAGTGTAGGAGGAGGAGAAGGATTAACCTCTTAGCTCCCGGGAGCTACATGCCCAGGCCAAGCAGGGGCAGCCCCAAGGCCACACGTGCCTCTGCCATGCCCCTTCCCCACCAGCAGGAAGCTGACACCGTTACAGGGGAGGGACAGGGCTAAGCTCCTGCCCATGTGCCAGTGAAAACTGGTTTGCGTGCCACTTGTGGCACACATACCAGAGGTTGCCGACCCCAGGCTTAGAATTATTCAGTGAAGGGAAAAAGTGAAGAGGAAATATTTAAAAAGAGTGCATGTGCTGCAAATATTTAAAAAGAGTGTATGGACAACATTTGTTGTAGAGACAAACACAAAAGTTGGAATGTGAATCAAGGGAGGAGCAGAGACAACAGGACTGGAACAAACAAAAAAGGGACATCTAGCTATACTATTATAAAAGGAGAGGTGTCTGTCATGCTATCTATCACAGAGAACATTTGAAAACACTTGAGAAGCTTCTAGGGGGAGTCAGGCCTCCAGCCTCACCTACAGCCCTGCCCCATCGGCTGAGGCCCTGTCCCCATCAGGGGAAGGGAGGAGCAGCACACCGAGCGTGCGTGCACCTGCAGCCCATCACAGGAGGGGAAGAGTGCACGTGTGCCACCGCATCCCTAGAGCAGCAGGGAGGGAAGAGGATGCACAAGCCCAACCCCTGCCCCTCAGCCCCAGGAGCAGTGGGGAGGGAGGAGGACACATGCACATGCTCACCCCCACCATAGGGAGGGGCAGAACATGTGCATGCCCGAGCATCCCCGGGGCAGTGGGGAGCCTCCGCATCCCCAGGAGCAGAAGGGAGGGAGGAGGCCCTGTGGCCCAAGCGGCCCAGGGAGCAGCAGGGAGGGTGGAGGCCACATGTACGTCTACTGCCACAACAGCACAGGTAATGCTAGTAATGATAAAAGAGGAAACCCAACTGAGTTAAAGTTTTGAAGTTAATAAATTGTGAATTTTGACAGGAGAGACTCCAACATCCTCTCAAACTTCACTGAGAAAGCAAATGACAGAAAAGGTACATATATCAATTTTATTCTAAGTTTTCTACAGTGTTTTAGAGAGTTAACTTTCAAAAAATTATTTTTCCTTAAATGGTCAATATTTCATGAATCACCTTAGAAAGAAATACTACAGAATACTGGAACATTGAGTCTCTAGTTTTCCCCCAATAGGTGGAAAGCTCTACTTTCTACATTTTGAGATTAGCAAGAAATCAGACATTTAAAAAGTCATTGGTCCCATAGGGCATGTCTACACTAGGAAATTATTTCAAAATAAAAACTCCTGAAATAACAGTTTTGAAACAGCATGTCCACATCACAGGGAAGCCTTGAAATTAGTCTGAGGCAAGCTCCCTTAATGTGGACACGCTACCTCAACTTAGAGGAAACACTGGAGAGTAATTACTCTGAATGACTCTGGGGAGTAGTTATTTTGAAATAGCAGCAGTGGAGCGTCCACACTATATAATCATTTCAAATATATAACTATTTCAAAATAAGTGTTATTTCTCATGGACAGTTATTGTTTCGAAATAACCAGACTGTTATTTTGAAATAACAGGCTTGGTAGTGTGGACACTCTGCTTGTTATTTCAAAATAACTCCCTAGTATTCCAGAGCTTAGGCAGACAATCCTATTGTGACACCAGGAATTAAATGTGGCACGTACATACTGCCCCCCCACACGCACACACACCCCGGATATATTTTCGTTCTTGTTGTTAATATTATCCATTTGAAGTGAACAACTGAAAATGTTCACAATTACAAGGCTACCCAACTACAATTACCTGCAATATTTTTTTTTGGCTCATTCTTTCTTCCCACTCTCTCTCATCTTCATCTTCTGAGCTAAAATTACAAAAGAAATCAAGGTGGACAAAAAGGAAGCGGCAGGGGTTTTTTAATGCATGTATCAATAAAGCTTTTTTATATATAATAACTAAAACAGAATTCACCTACTGCTTGCTCATGAAATGCATGTATCAATAAAGCTTTTTTATATATAACAACCAAAACAGAATTCACCAGGAAAACCATAGGTCATTAACTAATCTGAAATGTACAATAAAAAAGATACAGCCTAGCAGAAAAGATGGAGAGGAATTGAATGGGATATAAAGATCATCACTAAGGCTACGATTATGTCACAGTCACGAAAGACACAGAATCCATGATATCCAGAGACCTCCATGACATTGGGACACTGGAGAAGGTCAGTCACTGCTGGTAGTGTGGGACCCTTTTTCAGCAGCCCATCCACCATAGTCAGCAGAGGGACCAGAGAACTCCCTATACATCGCAGGCACCTCCAACCCAGCAGTTTCCAGTCCCTGTAGACCCCCAACAGATCCCAGCCCCGCAGGACAGTGGGGAACGCCACCTCCCAAGCTCCTAATCAACGAGCAGGAACTGGGGTTATCGCTACCAGGCATTGCACACAGCAGAGCATGCAGGAGCCTCTGCTCTCCCCATTTTGTCAGGTATGTTTTTACTTAAAGTCAGGGACAGGTCATGGCTTTCATTAATTTTAGTTTGTTTATTGACTATGACCTGTCCATGACCTTTCAGTAAAAACATTCATGACAAAACTGTAACTTTAATCATCACTACAGATAACAACATACTCATCAGTCAAATCTGGATCAGGTCAGTTGTGACAGTTATTTGGAGACCTCATGCTGATTCTTAGCACAGAAATAGCAGCATTAAAAACCAATACTGTAAAAGGCACCCCTGCAGGTTACTCTGATAAAAAAGGGGCCAACAACTGAATAAACATGGAGACTAATCTAACCCTCTCTTCCTAAGAAATCACTGCAGATCAGTATGGATAAGCCAAGTGCTGGTGGGCCACTTGCTCCCTGCAGACAAGCCACTGAAGCAGGGCCAGGTGGCAGGAGCAGGCACTTCAAAGGTTGGGTTGCCATACGTCCGGTTTTCCCCGGACGTATCCTTGTTTTCCCATGTTAAATTGCCATCTGGCCAGCTTTTTTAAAACAAAAAATGTCCGGGTTTCAGGAAGGGGGCGGCCTCACCTGTCTTCAAGGGAATGTTCGACTGTCTTTCAGAGCCACGCGCCTTGACAGTTCACGGCCACTCTGTGCACGTGCCTCAGTGCCTGGAGGGAGAAGTGCGTGAGTACCCAAGCTCTGGGACCTGAGCATAAGTTTGGGGAAGGGAGGGGGATTGGGTTGGGAGTATGCAGTACCTCCTGATACTCCAGCATATTCGATAATCCGGCACCACCTATGTCTCAAAGATGCCTGTGGGGGAGGGCACTGGGTTAGAGTGGGGGGCCTGGAGGTTCCTGGCTCTGGGGAAAGGATGGGTGCATTGGGTTACAGCAAGGCAGCTGGTGGTGTCTGGCTCCCCGGGAGAGGAGGGGGATTGGGTTAGAGAGGGGAGTTGGTGGTTTCTGGATTTGGGGGAGGGGTGGGGCATTGGATTAGAGCTGGGTGGCTGACGCACCTTAAACTGAGTCCATGGATGCAGCATTAGGCAGCCAACACAGATGTCATATTTAAATTCCAGGGCTAAAAAAGTATCGGCATATACCTGGTTTACACTGTGTTTCTTTAAAGAAAATTCAAAGGCTATTGTTTGCCAGGTTGAGGCAATTATTCTGATATACGAGTCTCTCCCTTATTGTATTTGCAGTCTGGGACAGACCTGAATTTTTAGAATTATAAAAAGCCATAATCATAAGTAAAAAAAAAAAAAAAAAAAAAAAGAGGAAACCATACCCTCTATCATGAAAGCTAAATGAACTTAAAACAAGGAGAAGCAAGTAAATACAGATGATGTCCAAGAAACAGGAACTTCAAACTGTGCTAATTTACTTCTCAATTCAGTTTAATTAAAAAATAAAGAAATATCACAGGATAGAATAGGAGCCACATGCAGCTTTGCTCAAAGAAATGCGGCTCTTGCTAGTTCGGAGCTGCGCACCCCCTTATGACTCAGAAGGATAAAGAAGTTATTTATTTACAGAATACACCATGGCAGTAAAGCTGCATGGCATGTAGACTCCAGTATGTATTCATTTGCACAATTAATTTCAAATTGATTTTTAAAAAATTCTTTCTGCGCTTGTGCTATATTAATAGCCTCAGGAAATTTTCTAAGACTCCTGATCTTGACTAAATGTTATTTTTAATCACTATGTTTTGTGTACTATAGATAGATAGATAGATAGATAGATAGATAGATTAGATAGATAGATAGATTAGATAGATAGATACTACGTGACTCTATCCACAACTATTTTGGCTCTTTGTCTCTAATTGGTTGGCCACCCCTGCTCTAGGACAAAGAGTAAACCTCAAAAGCAGCATTAAAAACGTTCAATATAGATTTTAAACTTAGACTAAGCTACTTGTCTTAGCATTGCTTACCTCTTTTTTTCTTCCTCTTGTAAAGACGACAATACATACATATCATCAATTTCTTCTCTTTGAACTTGTGAAATACTGGGCAGTGCTTCATTGCTTAAGAAAAAGTTGGAAGAGTTATTAATATATAAGTAAAAACAGCAGAGAAACAGGAGGAAAATCAATTTTGTCCTTGCCTTTTGCCTGTTAAAGCCGTTTTGATAGCTTGTCTTTTCAGGAAAGTTTTCAAGAGTTTTTCGGTAGTTTTCTTAGAGTCACTGACTGCCAATTCTTTTCTTTGCCTTCGCTTAGCCTAAGAACATGTAATGAGTAATATCAAATCTCATTAAAAGGGCATTTCTTATTAACTGAAGATATTTTTCCAGTAAATTACTCTTATAAGTAGCTATAAACAGAGAGTATTATACAACCGAATCCCGCAATATTTATTCATTGGTTTTCAGTTTTAAAATGGGTAACTTGGAAGCTACTAAACTTTTCCTCCTTCCTCAGTTTTCACAAATCTGCTATATATAATCATATCTGGAATCCACAATAACCTTGTAAACTGCACCATTAGTCTACACATATCCCTGCCAGTGCTATCCTCATTCTGACTCTCCTAATTCTTTACATACACTTGTTGTGTCATCTTAATTTAGGGTCTAGTCCTGCAACTGATTCCGTGCAGACAGATCCCTCTATCAGACCTTATTAAACTTGAATCCCTAGGAGTATCAATCTGGCCCCAATAAATTAGTGCAAACTCCAAGCAGGGACATGTTACATCCACACAATGTCAGATGCCCAATCAGAGGCCAATATTTTGACTTGCACAGTACTTGGGACAAAAGACCCACAATACGAGGAAGAACGCCTTCTTTCGAAAGTTCCTCTTTCGAAAGAAGGCGTTCTTCAATGTAAATAGGGCTTCTTCGAAAGAGAGCATCCAGACTCACTGGATGCTTTCTTTCGAAAAAGCAAGCCGCTTTTTCGAATGTCAACATGCAGTCTAGACGCCCTCTTTCGAAAGAGGCTTGCAGTCTAGACATAGCCTAGGAGTATCAATCTGGCCCCAATAAATTAGTGCAAACTCCAAGCAGGGACATGTTACATCCACACAATGTCAGATGCCCAATCAGAGGCCAATATTTTGACTTGCACAGTACTTGGGACAAAAGACCCACAATCTTAAAGTAACTTCTGCACACTTCTGTAGCACAAACCATAGCAGTGGTTCACTATATAAATTATCTCTGTAAACTTGAGATGAAAAATTTATCAACCCTGGCACAAAAATCGATTAGGCCACCATTTAGATTATCATAAAAAGTCATTGTGGTTATCATATATTCTATTCATCCATTTAAACATACACATGCCCAGACAAGTGAGAAACTAGAATTTTTGAGCCTGGTTTAAATATATCAATTCACTTGCATGAGCAGAGTAACTATACACTATCAACTATCTTTAGACTATAGTTATGCGTATATGCATGCAAAAACAATGTATAAGAATAACCTTGGTTTCTACACTTGTAGCTGATTTAACACCTATCCTGCCTTCACTGACATCAGTTGCAGAATTGCCATTAACTACAAAGATGCAGGACTGGGCACCTACTCTCATAAAACTTTCCTACTGATAATTCTCTATCTTATTTAGCACTATAAAGAACATAAAATTGCTCAAAGAAAGTACATACCAAAGTCTGTCTCTTCAGTAATGGTGCCTCCCCATCAAAAACAAAGACAGGACGGATTCGAAAAAACAATAATTTACAGAGTCGATGGAACAAAGTGAGTAGGTGAGCATTTTGTATGGTGTTACCATGACGGTCCCTTACTCCTTTTACTGCCTGATTCAACCAAATGCTAATATCTTGAAGGACAGTTAAGAGAAAAAAGTTATAGTCTTACAAGCACATTTCACAATGTTAACCATGCAGTAAACAAGTTATATAAAATATTTAGATCTAAATCTTGTCTAAGGTTCTAAGCCCAAGAAGATAGGTTTGGTACACAGGAGACCAGTTGATCCTCTGAGGAATATGAAGATGGGAAAAAAAGGAATTCCCAACATAATACGAAAGCTAAACAGCAACAATTGAGTCACTCTATAGCCAATACAAGAACACACATTGTCCCTGTAAGTGAATGAACTGTAATAGTTTCCCAGCGTTCGCTCATGTTAATAACATGATTTGAACTGTTTTTTTCCTGTCCCAACAGATAGTCATTTGAACAAGAATTCAGAAAAAGGGAAACTGTCAGTACTGCAGACATCAGATGTTCTCATGAAATACATAAACAAATGACATGTTGTAGGAACCTCTAAGGAACATATAACAATAAAGTCAATTTGTTTTTTCTTATGTATTATCCTTTGATTCCTAAATGTTTACTGGTAAGCCTTGAATTCAGACCATAAAGATAACTAAATAAGATTAGTGCTTAGTTTCAAAGCCACGTAGAGGGTATTAAAAATAAAATATACAGAATTTTGACAAAGGCTAGTTCTAAAAGAAAAAGTACACCTTCATTTTCTAAAGATGTGTCTCAAGCATGCTTTGATAAATTTTCTGCCAGCATGTCCTAAGCAGAACTGTTATAGAATACCACTCCCCTCTGCCTCCTCTAGAATGCTTGAGCAAATATGCTTTGCAACTATCCTTTGATGCTCAAGTGACGAGTATGATACAAGTGGTTCATATAATTTATTTTTTAAAACACAACAATATCCAAATTAAGTTTTGAACAGTCAGGTGGAACAGACCTGCCACATTATGAGTTTTTTTTAAACTGGCTTATGTCTCTTCCTGAGCTAATGGTTTTTTTTTAATTCCTCTCTGTAACATCTGCCAAACCTGTTGTGTAACTCATTTCAATCTGAAGTATGTCTTAAATAGAGACTCTGAATGTGTCTTTGGTAACAGCGGAAAAACATTTTATTAACTGACTGCACTTGAATGTCTAGAAAAACTTCAGGAACAGAGCTAGAGTCAACCAGATGCAGCATTCCACCTCATCCTCTTTTGACATGAGCTAAAGTCCAACGTACAGAATAGCAGAATTAATTCAGTTCCTTTCAGCTTTTCAGACTAGTACCCCCTCGGAGGCACATTTAATTTGACATTTGTGTGTGAGATTTAAAGCCCAAACTAGTGGAAAGCAATCCTTGCCATTTCATCTATCCAAACATGAGGAGTAGTTGTTTCTCCAACTGCCCAACTCACAGGCTCTATACCTGTACCCTGCCTGGCTCTAGCGGACTCTTGCGTCCATTCGGGAGATTTCTGCATCTTTTCGCGGCGGGGCAGAGGCTCCGATATGTTTCAGCAGCGCCTGTCAGCGCACGGGGAGAAGGATACCGACAGCAAGAATTTTTCCTTCCAAAGTTTCTGGGTTTATTGGTCTTCCGGAGCATTCAAGCAGCTTCCAAAGTCCTTGGACTCCCATCGCGCTGCCTCACGTTGCAGGAAGCGAATCAGGAGGAGGGGGGGCGGTGAATATTTGCAGCGCGGGGCAACGGCGCTCGCAGACGAAAAGGCTCGTTACAGGCACAGACGTTGACACGCAGCCACGCGGGGCACGACACGATCCGGCTCCCCCACTAGCAGCTGCATTAAGACCACGGCCCT